ACCAGCGGGGCGGCGCGACACCGGGTCAGAATCGGACCCTTGGCCTGCCGGAAGCAGAGTGCGGCAGGGGTGTGGACGTCAGTGTGCCCATCTGGACAGGCGGCACGGCCTGGGCCTCAGTCTCCGCCTCTGCAAAGGAGGTGCCAGCTCGCCATCCACCTTCACGGTCCTTCCCACTCTGGCCACATGGCAGGGGTCTCACTACCCGCCCACCTCACGTCCACACGGGGAGGAGGAGTAGGAGAGAAGCCCTCGCACTGTGATGCAGGAGCGGAGGTCTCGTTTATGACAGAAACCCTCATCTGGGAGATGGAGAGAGCCCTCAGGTCCTGGGGGACACTGTCATGTGCGCCCCACACACGGGGATGGGCGTCACGGTCCAGGGGACAGCCACAGCAGGCTGAGGGTCAGTACCGCGACCAGAACCGAGCCGGCTCTCCGCTTCCTGCCTGCGTCCACAGCGGGCCATGACCAGCAACAGCACATGTGGCCTTGGGTGAGCGTCCCAGTCCAAGCCCCTCATCTGCCAGAGGGGACCATGCACTCGGCTCTCGCACTGCTGTGACGGTCCACACGACAGTCTTGGAGGGGGTGTGTGCTCAGCACACGTAAGCACACGTCGGCTACGAAATGCTGGCGGCTTGGCTCCACATCCTTCGTCAGTGTAACCGCCAGGAGGCTCGTGGCTTGCCAGAGAGCCGGGGGCGGGAGCAGGTGCACGAGCACCCCCGGCAGGCACTCTCCCACCCGCCGCAGCTCGGGGCGCACACGCACCCTGTGCTTTTATCGCCGCTGGGGCTGGGACCCGGCCCCCGGACCACGAGGCTACGAGGACAGCCCCTCTATCTCTGCTATCTAAGATTCTAATACCGAATCAAACTCAGGGCTTCGAATTCTTCTCAACGTCTTGGTACTTAAGTAACAAACCCAGTTCCTATCCAGTAAACTGCTACACGGGAAGAACAAGCCTCGTCTCGCCAGGCTCTCTGAGCCTTCAATACACACCAGGCCTCTTGCGCTCAATGTGCACCAGGGACGCTAAGCTCTCCTGGCCCGGCCGGACCCTCGGTGACAGGCAGGCTTGCACTTTGTGGCTGTGAGCGACTCACTTCGTCAGTTCTAAGGAAACGTCTCCAACAAAGATAACCTTCTCCTCCGGGAAGCCCGAAGGCCTGCCCCCTTAAAGCCATGGAGAGCACGTCCCCACCACCGAAAGCCGGCTAGGCTTCGAATCTGAAACCCCGAGCCCAAGTGATCCCAAAGGAACGCCAGGACAAGGTACTCACGGGTCGAACTCATGGATAACGCTCTCGAATCTCAGGACAGCAAAGAGACGAGTGGAGAAGGCTGCAAAGACCACACGGTTAGTATTTTCAGTGACGCGCCGCGGAAGCACACGACGACCGCGACCGCGAGCAGCGCCAGGCGCGGAGGGTCCCCATGCGGAGGGGCCCCCGTGCAGCTCCCGCCCCGGCTCCCGCCCAGCAGCAGGGCGTGGCACTCACACAGCACGGCCGCCATGGACAGGATGAGCAGCTTCAGGAGGGTGTCCTGCTTCTCATAGGACAGCCGCAGGAACCCAAGCTTGGTCATCTTGGCACGCAGGGCGAGGGCACTCGGCCGGGAGAGTCAAGGCCACGGGATGAAGCCTTCAGCTGAGGCGGGCAGCTGCCATTCCTGACATGGGAGAAAACGCGAGTGAGCGGGCCAGAGCCCCGCCGGGCGCGTCCCCAGCCGGGGAGTGCCATCCACTGTCCAGAGCAGTGGCAGGTCAGGTCAGGTCAGGGCCAGTGATCGGCGCACCCCGGCTTCTGAGCGCTGGCCACTCCCTCAGCTAACAGGCAGGAAGACTGGCCACCGTGGGGTCCCGGGGAGACGGCAGAGGGTGCAGGGAGAGCCCAGTGAGCAGGAAGGAGGGAGAAGCGCCGGGAAGTGGGGCCCCGGGTGGCGGCCGCGCCTA